AATTCTAACAATTTTAGCTTGCATAGGAATCTGGAGCTGTCTCCCAAGAGGGGAGAAGAGAGGGAAAGATTTGGAAGTCCTTTGTTGAAGCATAAGAACTTATCATATCATTATTAGTATTTTCTGATCCTCTTTCCCCTGTCTCTACATTACAGAGGAAATAGCATTGGGCTACCAGAAGGATTATCAAAATGGCACTTGAAACATTTGGAAAAGGCATTATGTAAACAGCAATAATTATTATTCCAATTCTTGTCAAAAACATCTACAAAAAATCCAGATGAAAAATATCAAAGCATTCTTTGCTTCCAGAAACGGACTATCCTACTTTATCAAGACAAGATAGGAATAACCAGAATTTGGGGATTCCAAGACCTCTCTTCCCAATTCTTACACATAAATTACATTCCATGAGGTCTGATTCAGGTCCCACAAGCCTGCCATCACAATCATAAGTCATGATGATTATAAAATGAATGTGGCCACATGACCAACCCAATTTTATGATTTTATTTTATTTTTTTTTTGCAGCAGTTGTGCTGGGTTTGGGCAAAAATGTCATATAATGCAGTCACGTGTCCATGGAACACTGCAGATGGCCATAAAAGTGGCCCAGTTGCCAAGGGCCCAAAGTTTGGTCATGTGAGACATCACAGGTAAAGGAAGAAAATATTTTAATACACTGAATTTACTGGGCTAGATTGACAAATGGCCTGGCTTAATACAAGAGGAAGTTTCCTTATTCAAATGAACTCGTAAGATCTCACAAATGGAAACAAATGCAGATTTGCCATGCCGACATGCCTAATACTTGATGCTTCAGATAGACTGGCAGCAAGTCAAAAGAATAATGGCAAGGAACCCTAGAGAAAGCTTTCAAAAGCAGACTGCTATTTTCATGAAGCAAAAATTTTAAAAAATGGATACTGTACACTGATTCAGTCATAAGCAAGATGGTAGATTAGAACAGACATGAGTATCTCACAGTCTTTCCATGCCAGTTTTCATACCAATACAAACCATTATTGTGCTGCTAAGTAAAAGTTACTATGTTGTGTAGAACCACAAAAATGATTATTTCTGTGCATTATTCTAATTCCTAAAGAATAAACTACCAGACAAAAATGGTTCCCGGCGATAGTTCTCACACATTCCTGATGTAATAAATATGCAGTGTAATCTAGCCGTGAGTGTAGTAACACCAGAAGCTGTTCATGTTCTTTAGTACTACAGCCCAACACTTTAACTCTTCACTTAGGTATTAAAAGCCAAGCTCATCATGATAGCATTCAAATGTCTCCAGGGTTTTGTCTGCACTACAAAGTTTATTATTAATCCAATGACTACCCCTTCAGCCATTATTAAATATGGTTTGGCAACTAGTTACTGCATCAGCAGTGTTCAATGCCCAATTTAGAAAGTATAATTGCCCTACAACAGGCCTGTCCATGGTGCAGCATTCATACCTGGTTTCCATAAGCAGAGGAGCCCCACATTCTATCCAGAAAAATATTGGGACAAGGGACAATTAATTGGGACAATTAAAACAAGGGACCATGTTTTCACTTATTTTCCCCCAATAACCTAAAGATAATGGAGAGACATTTTAAAATGTAACTCAGCTTGACCTATTTTCTCTTCTCCTCCTCTCAAACCATGGAACACACCGTAGTGAAGCCTCAATTTAGCAGATCTCAATGCAACAGATGAAATTCCAGTGGCATTTACATCATCGGCAAAATAATGTGATTGTCATTGATGTAAATTAAAATAAATGACATAAACAGGTGCAAATGAAGTAAATATTATTTGCATAATGATGTCATCACAATGTATATGTTCTCTAATTTAATGAACAATCTGGAGTAACGGGGAATATTTTACTAGTATTCTGAAATAGGTTATTATTACGTTCTGGAGTAGAAGACAAACTGCACTGAAACATAATTAATTTAGACACACGGCACCCAAGTTATAAATTCTCAGTGATCCATGAAGGTTATTGAACAGGCCTTGGTCAAGTCCCTGATCTGATCTGCACATCACAATAAACCATATTTTGTTCAACCAAGGTTTACTCAATAAAAAACAACTGGCTGGGTTGAAAGCCCAGCAAGCCACATTCCACATCAGGTTTAGAGAATATGTGAACTCAAGAGTCACACTGGCAAAGAATAAACTCCCAGAAATATATATGTTTATACAGTACACTTGAATAATCTTCTCTGGAAAAAGACAAAAAAATCCATGCCAGCAATCTCATCAGATGTGGATCGGTCAAATTAAACTTGGGTTTAACCCAACTTCAAATTAGCCATTTAGATTCTGAGGCAAAACACGGTTCTGCCAAGTGCAAACTATCCATATCCAGGAGACCTTCTGTAACACAGGGAATGGAAGGCAAAATGGGGCAGGGTGGGGGGAATCCAAACAGGTCTTAGATAAAACTGGAGGTCAATACAAAATCTGCACTAGTGAGTCATCCATGAAATAAGTCTGAAATGTACCTGCACCTACCAACATGATACAGGACTGGTCATCTAACGTAAGTAAAATTTGTTGGTACTTTAGAGCCCCCCGTTTGCTGTTCCAAGAAGAGAACTAGGAAAAGCGTATAGAAACCAAAGCCTGTGGGCTTTAATTGGCTTCCAGAATCGTGACTTGTACGGACCAAGAAAAAATGATTCAAGAAGTGATAGAACCAAAAGTATCAATGAAGCAACCCAGGTTAGGCTCCAGTCTCACAGAGCCAGCATCCGATAGTAACCTAAAACATTTGTGAAGCACAATTTTGGCTAGCTGCCTCATGAGTAAGCCTCTTCAGTTAACAGCCCCAGCCATCAAGACTCTCCCATAACAGTGAGTTCATGAAACAGAGAGGAAAGAAGGATGTGTCAACCCCACACTATGTTCTTGGCTTTTTAAAGATTCACACTGATATGATCTCAAGTGTAAGACTGTGGAGCCTGGAGCTGTATATTATGATGTAGAAGAGGTTGGAGCCAGAAATCTGCCTTTCACTGACAGGTATCTAAAGGGGCAGTTAACAATGGGCGGCCTGCCTACCTTTCTTAGTTTCTTATCTCCCACCAGCAGAAAAGTTTCTTTTGACCTCCTTATAGGTTCTCCCAGGGGAAAAAAAAAAAGAAATCAAGCAGCAGCGTGGAATAGATATGGTCTCAGATCTAGCTTCAAACAACCAATGAAGCCTCTGGAAAATTTCTACCCGACAAAAGCACAAATTGGTAGTCAAGTGTTTATAAACTATGTAATCTTTCACAAATGCCACAGGGAAAAAAAAGAGGGGTCAGATGGATTGATAGAGATCCGTTTCACTTTATACCCAGTGCACCCACAGAAGAATTCCACTGCATAAAAATAGAGATCGGAATCCGATTTTCCAATAAACAGTTAGAACCAGATACTTTCTTCCCTATTAGTTCTTTCAGCCCATAAAAGGAAATCTGACATAAATTCAAAAGACAGGACAACTCAAGCTGAAAGAGACTATTCTACAGTAGGGATTACAAATGCAATGCTCCGTTATATAGTTAACTTTTTAAATAAAGTACACACATTCTAAGGCCTGCACATGTGTTAGTCGTTGCTGGTTCTAACAAACTCATCAGATACTGCCTTCTTTTCATACATCCCAGCAAGGTGAGAGCCTTTATCAGACACATTCTTCATAGCCGAGAGGGAGAGAAAAACTACGAAGTCGAACAAGAGCTAACGTAGAATGAAGTGTTCGGCATCACTGACATTCTTTTCCGCTTCTCAAAGAAAAATGTGTGGCATTGTACAGAAGAGGGCAATGGTAGCTGCTCTTCCTTAAAATACACGACAAGAAGAGTACTGCAGAGTAGCTTGTCAGCCACAACTCTTTTAGTATTCATCAGAGACAACAGTATGTACAAGTTCATGAAAATTTCTGAGTATATCTTGCCTTGGGAAGAGAGTGGCAATTATATCTATATTACGCTACATACTGCATCTCTATGATAGATGAACTGTTGCAGTATCATTATCTTCCTAGCAAGGCAGCCAATTAACACAAAGCCTGGCTATACACAGCATAAAGAAATTTTGTGTAAAAAAAATTATTAATCAAATAGAACTCTCCGCCAATATTGCCAGAAGGTTTCAACAAGAAATCTAGCACTACTGAGAAGAGGGTCACATTTAGTTTGACAAAAACAAGATTGAAGTTTATACAAATGTGCCAAATCAAGTTTTACAGTAGGCACAGGAATTAAACTGAACTATTTTTACAAAGCAGTAACAAAAAAGATTATCAAACTGCCATTTGGCTGCATTCTTTGCTATTATATTTACATATGTTTACACTTTGAAATGTTCGGTTTTAATCAATATAGCTTTATTTTCACAAACACAGTATTTATAGAAGTACCCATGCAGTAGCAACTAAAACGTTTTGGGATTATTCTCATGGGATGTGCAAATTTTTCCATTCAAAGCAATTACAATACATAGGCAAAAGTGAAGTCAGCTACAATTAGAGTTGTCAGATCATGTTTAACTACATCTTAATCTAATCCATACAATTCCACATCTGGGTCTCATTTCCTGAATTCCTGTAGGTATTTTAGCCACTTTTAAGAACTCTTTCAAGTACAGAAAGTTCAAACAAGCCTACCTTAATCTAAAGATCTTTTTTTTAAAAACAGAGCAAATAAATAATTTGCCTTATCTTTTAATCTTTTTCCAAGGCAAAGACCAGCAGCCCCTACCCTCATGAGGACGAGGAAAACAGTTGAACGGCGTTTTATATTCATGAGCCAGAATGTTTCCAACAGTTAAACTCCCAATTGACAGAAAAACAGTACAAACATCATTCCACTCCACAACTTGGGCTCACACACACACAACCCAAAACTAGGGTGTTTTACTACCACTTTTATTCTCTGGACACCAGAGGAATATACACCCCAGTTTAGCAACCAGTCTCTAATGCAAGCACACACAAACAGAGCCCTCACCTTTACTTCCTCTTCAGCTGTGCCAAACATCTATGTATGCACAACTTCCAGCTCTTTCTATGCTGAACTATCCCCACACCAACAGGGGCATTGGCTGAATAGACTACTCAGCAGGGGAGAAAGGAAAAGGGAGGGAGGGAGGGGGGGGAAAAAGAGCAGGTCTCCAGCCAAATTCATTTACATGTCAGGCATTTATAGAGGCTGGAGTTTCCTGCCCCAGATCAACCAATCTATGCCACAAAAAGACTGATCGACAGGGAAAGCTCCTACTGGTCTTTTGTGTTCTTCCTACTTGTAGTTCGTATTTATTTACCCATGCACATGGACACACACACACACACCCCTGAGCAGTGTTATTAAGTAGCCTGCAATCTCATCAAGGAACACCCACCCACATACATAAGGCAATCTTTATCTTGTCCATTTGCTCCCCTCCACAAACTCCTTTAAATATGACTTCTAAACATAAAATTTATGTTAAAAATAGAGAGAAGCATGTATCAAAATACTTGATCATAGAAATTGTTCCCGCGGAGACCTCCACCAGGCAGAGGCCTTGTCCCTGCCAACAATGAGAATCCTGAGATAAGGAAATAAGATAAACAATAACACCCCCCCCACCAGCCATGGGGGGGGGGGAAGCAAGAAAGAGGAATCTCCCTTTCCTTCCACCATCTAAGTACTATACATTAAGACAGCTGATCCAAGGGGGTAGGTGTCCCTACAAGGTCCAAGAGAGCTTGCTGTTCTATAGCTCTCTCCCACCCCCTCTTCCATTAAAAAAATAACATCCTTAAAGTTTCTGGAAGCTCTCATCAGGGGCAGTTATTAATTAGAACTTGGTATCAAATACCCACATTTTTTTCAAATGTATTCCCCCAAAAGTCAAGATGATCCCCCAGAACACAAAAAAGTATAACACATCCTTCCAGGATCACCGATATCAACATTACAATGACACCTCATGTAGAGACTTCTCTAGCCCCCAAATTTGCAGAAACAACTTTTCCACAGGCACATGAAGTAACAACTGGAAAATGTGTGAAAGGAGAGAAGTAAGATGGCACAGAACCTTCTCCTCCAAGCTACAACCCAGCCTCTTAAAATGCAGAAAGGACAGTTCGTTAAAGCTAAACAGGTGAACATAAAAGCACACAATCCCAGAGAAAAGACATACACGCATATATATATATATATCAATTTAAGGGGGAAATGGCAAAGTGAAAAAAGAAACAGGTCCTGCTACAGAGTAGCCTCCCTCCATTCTCCAAACCACCTCTAAAGATTCAATTAAAACTTTTGAAATGAGGATTTTTCCTAAATGAGAGAATGCCCCTTTTCTTTCCACTAAAGTGCAGATGATACAGAAAACAAACAGAGTTGGGGAGGGTCAGTTCTAGCCTTAGGACATCCTGTTGGAACTCAGGGAGCCATCCCATTTTTAGGAAAAAGCGGGTGGAGGAAAGGGGTCCTTTCAAAAGAGGAGATTCCCCCTCCCCAATTCCTTTAAAGAGAACCAGCAAAAAGTTCTCCTTTTGCCTACTACCCAAGCACCCAGCATCGCACCTAAGCAGAACACAAGACCATCCCTCAGATGAACCTGAAGCTGCAATCTTAAACATGACATTTACTGAAGAGCAAACACAAAACAGTAGGATTTATTTCTTTACTCCTCTTCCAATCTACCAAAAGAATTGAGGGGGGGGGTGTTCATGGGAGGAGAATAGCCATATAAGACTTGCCTTGTCCTCCCCCATTACAAGATCTCCGTCTCCCGCTTCGTTCTCTCTCTGGCACACAATATAACATCAAAGGCGAACAGTGGACCCCATAACATACAACAGGATTAGACAAGTCCTCCCCTGACCTTGCACATTCTCTCTTCCTTCCCACACTATGAAAGAAGAATCAACTAATTCGACCCCTCCCCCCCTTTTTAACTCGTTCTGGGGAAATTGGGAAAGGAAGAAGTGGGAGGAAACGCTTCCTCCCCAAATACTGGAGTGGGGGAAAATGCAAGAAAATTGGTATTATTTCACAAAGGGACTGAACTGTCCTTTCTAATAAAAATAGGAGGGGGGGGAATAGAGAACTGCAAGGGTAGGACTTACTTAAATATAGTACACTCATTATCAATTAGTACTAGCCAATGCTTCCCCCCCCAAAGGAAAAAAAACCCCAAACCATAAAATGCATTATGGTTTCTCTTTCTTCAAAGAGAAAGGCAATATTCCAACCCCTGCCCCCCCCCCAAAAAAAGATTTGACTGAGTGGAGTGAAATGGGAAATCTTAAATCATTAAATAAGCCAGCAAAGAAGGGGGGGAGTCAAAAGTCACTTTGAAGGAACCCCTCCCCACAAAATAATGCCAGAATCTTAAAGAAGCTAAATCCAGTATTAAGGCAGCTCACATTTTTTTCCAGCTATTCCCATTAGTTTACCATCAGGATAAAAAAAAAAAAGAGAGGCATGTTTGGAAAGGGGAGAGGGTGGAAAAAAAAGTTGGTGCTTCGATGACAGAGGACGGAGAAAAAATTGGGGGGTCCTACCCCCCAACCCCGTGGGCCTCATAAGGCAGCTTCTGACACTGGGGAAGCAGGAAAGTCATTCCTTCCTAGTAGCTTTTCCCCCTTCCCTGGTCAGTGTATAAACTCCTTGCAAAGTTTCCCACGAGCTTCAATTTAATGCATTTGGTGTGCGTGTGTTTGGGGGGGGGGGTTTAAGTCCAGAAGGAAAAATGCTTTTTTGGAGGAGCCAGAGCAGAAAGAAACATATTACCAGATCTGCATATAAAAATACATCTACAGCATTTTCTTTTAGCACTTCTTTCCCCCATCCCATAAAATTTAGTCCCTGTTAAGAAGAAAAGGGACTCATTCCAGTAGGGAGGGGGGGGTTGAAATGAGTGAAAGAAACAGGTCAGACTCCCTCCGTTTACAGGTTATTTTAATATTCCTTCCTCTGCATAAAAAAGAGGGGTTTCTAGAGGATGACAGAGTCAAAGAAAGGAAGCCACCCCAGAACACCTCCCCCCCCCCCTTAACGCACAGCTTTGGAAGGGGAAATCAACCTAGAAAATAGAAAAAGCAGAGATCCACATGCATCTGTTTTAAATATATATATTGTGATGATTTTAGTTCCTTAATTCTTTCACTTTATATAAAATTGGAGGGCTGTTTCAGAAAAAGAAAAAAAAAAGACAGGGGGTGTCCGATGGAGGGAGGGGAGAAAATAAAAGAAAAATAAGACAGCCCCCCCCCCCTCCCGCTCAAGTAAAATTTCCTTAAGTCTAGCCCCCCTCCCCCAAACTGTGGGACTGTTGAAAGATACTAATTGTTAAATAAAAGTGTTGTTAAAGTAGGGTCTGTTTTAGATGGGGGAGTGCAAAAATAAGTAGAAATCAGGAAAGGGGGGGGAAACAATATCTCCAGTTATTAATAAAAAAATCTTTCACTCTTCCCTCCTTTTTTAAAAAAAGGGGACTAGTCGGAAACGGGGGGGGGGAATGTTTAAAGAAAAGTGCTGTGGAAGAATTAAATGCGTCTGGATTTAGGGGAAGGGGCTGCACAAATAATCAAGACTCAAGGAAGAGAGGGCAGACCCGCTCCCCCTTATTGTTATTAGTATTATTATCCCCCCACCCCGGTGACTCTCTGTCCTCCTTTATTTATAAAAAAAAACTAAGGCTGCGGAGGGGGGGAGGCTTCAAGGAAACCCGGGTTCCCGGGAGTGATGCTGTTTTGGGGAAGGGGCGCTTCGGCGAGGGACGGTGGGGAGGGGGGCGGCTGGAGGAGGTGGCGAAGCGGCTCCTCCATCCCGGGACAAGCCACCTCGGCGGCGGCGGCGCCATCTTGTTGGGATCGATGAATTGAACAAAGAGGATCAATTTCTGATCGCGGCGGCGGCGCCGGGTTATCGATGGGAGGGAGAGCGGAAAGAGGCGAGGGGAGGCGGGCAGGGCTGGCGGCCGCCACCGCCGCGTCTCCGCCAGGCTTGGAGGGAGCCTGGGGGGGGGGGGGCCCCCGGGGGGGGGGGGGGGGGGGCGTCTTCCCCCCACTTTTTTTTTTTTTTGGGGGGGGGGGGGGGGGGGGGTTTTATGGGGGGGGAGAAGGGGGGGCGCCCCCCCTCCCCAGGGCGCCTGCAAAGGGGAGAGAGGGAGAGAGAGAGAGAGGAGGGGAGGGCGAAGGAGGAGGAAAGGGGGTCCCACGGAGAGGGGGAGACCCACGCGCCAGCGGACCCCGAGCCTGACCTGCAGCTGCTGTAAATCAAAGCGCTTCCAATATTGAAACATCGATCCCACATTGGCCGCCATCTTGAGACATATTGAGACAGAAGTGAGCGGCGGATCGAGCGAGAGAGAGAGAGAGGGGCTGGAGAGTGCACGGGGAGGGAGGGAGGGAGGAGGAGGAGGAGGAGGAGGAAAGGGGGAGGAAGAGAGAGAGAGAGAGAGGGAGGGAGCGAGCGGGCGAGACGCTCAGAGGAGAGAGAGAGAGAGAGGCCGGCAGCAAAGCCAGGCAAGTCGAGGGCGCGCGGAAAACCCGGACCGGCGAAACAGGGAGCTCTCGGAATGGCGGGCTGGACTTGCCAGCCCAGGGAAGAGAACATTAATGTGGGTTCAGACATTTTTTTTTTTTTTTTATCTCTGCGAAACCGGGCACTTCTTTCCTTTGTGTCCACAACAAGAAGACGCGCACTTTATGCGGTTTTTCTTTTGGACTTTGGGACTCAAGTTATTCTGGTGGGGTTTTTTTTTTCTTTTTTTTTTCTCCTCTCGCGCTTTCTATGCACACTGGCTATGTGTAATGGATCTGTAATAATAATAATAATAATAATAATAATAATAATAATAATAATAATAATAATAATAATAATAATAATAATAATAGACGGGAACGCGGACTAACGCACGCACATATATGCCACCCCAGAGTCATGAATAGAGGCGTTCATATCTTGGGAGGGAAAACAAAAAGTATTAGTATGCAAATGGATCTGAATTCGTTTTCAAAGTCACCTGAAACGTTTTAAAACATCATCCCTTACTTTTTTTTTTTTTTGGATAACTTTCAGCAGCGGTGGTTTTCTTTGGCTTTTCTTACTTAGAGCTTGTGTGGGGTATGGAT